TCTGGGTGCTGTTCCAGGGGATTCCTGCTTTTCCCCTATCCACTTTTATTTAACCCCATTTCCACGGCCTGGCTGACCCTAAAGGCTTTTTCCTCCACTCTGCATTCCAAAGCAAGGGTGGCTCCCTGTTTTCCCAGCTCAGTTTTCCTTACCCCGTTTTTATTTCCTCCTTCCCGCGTGCCCTCGGCTTTGCTATTGGAAGTTGGATCATTGGCATGAGGGCTGGGCTGCTGCAAGGGTGGGGGTGGCAGAAAAAGGGTTAAAATATCTGCTCCCTGGGCTGGTTTTTTTTTGGGTTTCTTTTCAAACGCACAAAATGAAGTTTTAGGAACTAGGGAACACGGATTTGTCAGGAGAGGAAGGCTCAGCTGTGGCTCCACCAGGATTGAAGGTGGATTTTCCTGTGGGCTCTATTCAGCAGTCAGGCTTTGCCTCCTGGCCACTCCAGTGGCTGCAAAAATTATGTGGAAAAGGGTCTGGAGGATGAAAAATTATATTAAATGTCTCCATCACCAACACCTCCAGCAGCTTGGTTTTATTCCCTAAAAATTGCATTTCTTCATCCTTGGAGAGGACACCTGAGGTCCCTCTGTCCACACCTGGCGAGGAAAAGCTGCTCGTGGGATTTCTGCTGGAAGAGGGAACAACCTGGGGCTGTTCCCTGGATATTCACAGAATTAAAATTGTAAAAAAGCCTCCAGGATCATCCAGCCCAAGCTGTGCCCCATCCAGGTGTGGACACCTCCAGGGATGGGGACTCCAAACCTCCCTGAACACCTTTTCTGTGGAGAAATTCCTCCTGATGTCCAACCTAAACCTGCTATTTATTAATTTATCCAGCCTAAACCTGCTATTTATTAATTTATCCAGCCTAAACGTGCTATTTATTAATTTATCCAGCCTAAACCTGCTATTTATTAATTTATCTCTGCTGAATAGAGCCCTGCTGAAGGCATTACATTTACTTTCATCTCTATTTCCTAACAAGCAGCTTAAAAACGCAGGGAGTGCCCAAAGCTGAGGATTTTGGGTCAGACTGGGGGGAAATGGAAGTGATTTCTTGCAAGGAGCAGTTTGGTCCCCTAGATTTTTATGTTTTTAAAAGATACCCCAGCACTGCTCTCCCTGCTGAGCCTCACAAGGGACTCGTCTTTGTTTTGAGGTGAAATTCTAAAATCTGGATTTGCTGAAGAAATAAAGCCCAGGCTGAACCCAGAATATTTTTGATATCAAACACTAAAAGAGACAGGGCCCATCTCCTACCCAGCTCTAGCAGGGATGTTTCAGTCTAACACCAGGAATAAAAGCAGCAGTAATTCAAAGAAAAAACAACAAAAAAAAAAAGAAAAAAAAACCCAAACCAAACCACAAACATCTCCTTGTTTTCAGGTTAATATAGAAAATAAAAATAGAGGTTGGAAACAGCTGCTCTGGCAATGAACTCCTCAGGCAGCAAATCTGGCCCAAGCCAATTAGCAGGGGTGGAAACGAGGATGAGGAGCTGGGCTTTAGCAGGACACCTGCTCCCTCTGCCCCTGGCACTCCTCAGGTCTCCTTCGGTTGGGATTTGCAAAGGAAATCAAAAGGTTCTGTTGGTGTTTTTACAGGAAACCTGGAATTTGCCTTTTTTTTTTTTTTTTTTACATTTATTTTCTATATTAAACAGAAAACTGCCCACAAATGCTGACGGTGGTGGAAGGGGAGGTGACACTGGGCAATACTCACGATGCCATCCCTGTCCGGTGACCCTCTGGAAAGAGCAGAGAAAGGAGCTCTGTTAGTGCCCAGACCACCCCCAATTAACTCGTGGAAATTGGTTTTTAAATGAGTTCACGGTAGCAAAAACCGGAATTATCGGCACATCCGAGTTTCCTGCTCCTCGTGGAACCCATGCAAGGTCACAGAATTTTTTCCCTGGTGTTATCAGCTGATTAATTTTGGGTTTATCAGGAAATAAAGTGCTGGGGCTGGCTCCTGCAGCATCCCACAGGCACATCCCTGCCCCGTGTCCGTCCTTTCCAGGGCACGGAAATCCCTTCTGGAGGAATTTCCAGGCCTTGATCTGCCAGAGGGGATTGAGGCTCCCCAGGGACCCTAATCCCCAGCTGCTGGTGGGATTTGGGATCCGGGCTGGGTCATGGGATGCTGGGATTTAGG